ATATATCTTTCAGCCTGGCTTTACTCTGTTAAACCATTGGCCGAAAGCAGCTTCTTAGTCAACCAATGGCAATAAAACATATTCACAGCATATATCACCACCCACACCACCCAACTATACCAATCTTGAACATATATCCAAAGGATACTGAATCATACCTCAAGGACACCTGCTCAACTATGTTTGTAGTAGTATTATTCGCAATAGCCAGAACCTGGAAACAAGCTAGATGCCCCTCAACCAAGGAATGGATAAATAAAATCTGGTACATTTACACAATAGAGTACTGCTCAGCTGTTGAAACAAGAGCACAAGGAAATTTGAAGGTAAATGAATGGAACTAGAAAAAAAATCATCTTGAGTGAGGTAATCCAGACTAAGAAAGACAAACATGGTATGTACTCACTCTTAAGTAGATACTAACTGTAAAATAAAGGATAACCATGCTATAATCCATAGCCTCAGAGAGCTAGGTAACAAGGAGGGTTCCTGGGAAGGGGAAATGAAGAGATTTCGTGAGCGGACTGAGGGTGGGTATGGAAGGGAACATGATCAACAGGTTGTAGGGGTTTGGTGCAGAGGGGAAGAGTACTGAAAGAGATGATTAGAAAAGGGGATGATTTCAGGGTCAGGTAAAAACCCAGCAATCTACAAGAAAGACCCTAGCTTAGACTCCTAACAATAGCAGATATGTAACCTAAACTGATCATCTCTTGTGACCAATGAAGACCTAACCCAATTGTCATTAGAGAGGTTTCATCCAGCAACTGATGGAAACAGATGAAGACTCACAGACAAACACTAGGCAGAACACAAGAAGAAAGGATTGTATGAGTCAGAGGGGTCAAGGACAGCACAAGAAAAACCACAGAATCAACTAACCTGGGTTCATCAGGGCTCACAGAGACTGAACCGACAACCAGGGAGCCTGCACGGGACTGACCTAGGTTCTTTGCATATATGTTATAGCTGTGTAGCTTGATCCTCTTGTGAGACTCCTGACAGTGGGAACGGGGGGGGGGGGGTTGGCTGCAACTCTTTTACAGGCTTTTGGGACCATACTCTTCATACCAGGTTGCCTTGCCCAGCCTTAAACACATGGGGAGGAACTTAGTCTTACTACAATTTGGCATGCTATGTTTTGTTGATACTCATGAGGACCTGCCCTTTCCTAAACAAAAACACAGGATGAGTAGATTTGGGGGGGGGGGGGGGGGGGGTAGGTGTGACTTCCTTTTGGTAATGAGCGGTGGGGAAAGGAGTGAGAGGAAGCTGTAGACAGGATGTAAAATAAATAAACTTATTTATCTATTTAAAAAAAAAAAACAAGGTATGAGTGTGGCAGTCTCTAGGCCTAGAGAAAACAGAAGTGATAAGGGCTTCAAGGTCAATGCGAAAATGTTGATGAAGTCTGGCAAACTAGGGACTCAGCAAGGGCAGCCAGAGGCGGAGCTGATGTGAGATGAGGAAAGATGAAACATAAAGGAGGCAGCATACACTGGCTCCAGATACTTGATCCCATCACACCAGACTGCTGTGAGAACATATGGTGTGAAGACCCAGCTATGACCATGACTATGACTACATGCTGAGACTTCAGAAACATGGAAACTGGGACTAAAGTTCCTAGATAAACAATAGGGTTACAAAAGTCTTAGGGGCACTGCTGGGGTACAGTGTCCCAAGCATTCCAAAGTGAGAAATTTTATCTCAGAGATATTTACAAAAGTGGCTTTTACAGTGTCATGAATCCCAATAAAATTCAGGGAGATGAAGTGAAGTAACAAAAGACTGCCCATTTACTTGGATTAATAGCAACTAAAACAATTTCAGTTGTACATATATACATATGTGTATTATTGAACATAACACACATATATATTAGAGAAAGAAAGAGAGAGAGCAGTAAAAGTGAATGAGGCCTCTGAATGTTACAAGTTCTCTGTACTCAGATATAAACATTAGGTAATTTCCCTTTCTGGGGGAAAAATAAGAAGGAAAAGAAAGTGCCCCTGAGGATTCAGCAAGAGCCCTAGAAAATCATCCCCAAACTGAAGTCTCATGTCGGCAGTGCCTCTTACATGTCTCCCAGTTCTGTCTGTGAGATAGGAAGGGTGTGATGGGTTAGCAGAATATAGTGTGTGGGTGAGGACACCTTGTCTCCTGAGCTCTGAAGTCTCCACATAGAGAGAAATAGTTTCATAAAATATTACCCTAATAACCACATCCCAGGAACCAGAGCCCCACCTGGACCTGATAATACTGATAAGACATGACAACTGAACAGTGGCAGGTACTGAGATCAAGTGGGAGGTGTCAGCCACTGTAGACATAGAGCAAAGTACACTGGCTTTAGGCATCCATCCTTTCATGGTCATTCCACGAGAAGGATGGACAGAGAATAATAACTTTCAACATCAGGTGGGGAGAGGTTCCAGCTGCCACTCCACATGACCTTTCAGTCCAGGACAGGAGTTCCAGATGCCTACCCAGGGAAAGAGGCATCCTCGAATAATGCAATATCTCCAGCCACCCAGCTGTCGGGGCCAGTCTTGACAAAAATACCTTTCTCCAGAGTGGAGGCGTGGGAATTTAGAAATACAGTAAAGAATACGAAGAAGCAAATGAAAAATAATAAAATGCAGAAATATATATCAGGATAGTATCAGGAGGGAATTTTTCAGTGTGTACTGAAATTTCACCCGTGTTTAATTTCCAACTGCTTAATATACTCCTGACCCTAAAACACAGAAGTAAAACAAAAGACTGCATTAACAGACCAATTGAAAGTCAGGGCTACATTCATTGCTCACGCCCTAGACCAAGCACTCTGTAGGCAAACCACTCCCTGGGTGGAATCCCAAGTTATTTCCACAAAGGGAACTGGAACTTAGATGGATCCTTAGACTTTTGTTTTAGGTAGGAATTAACTACTTCCCTATTTTAGAAGCACAAGGTCTGGCAATGAGTCACACCTGTTGCCAAAAGCCTTCAGAGAGCAGAACTCTCTGATTTACAACTAGGTGGGACCTTTGTTTGAGTTAGAAGTACAATAACATTGAATGAACAATAAACAAGTCCCAAACTCTCTGACCTTTGGCCTCTTTGGGCTGCCACACCCAGCTACCAGAGCTTGATCCAGCATCCTAGGTACAAAGCTGTTCCAACCTCTGCTGAGAGGCAGAGACAGACAGCTCTCCAGAGTTTCCCAAACTACAGATTTGAAAGGAAATACATCTGAAGCCACTAAATTTAGTAATATAAAAAGATTGGTTTGAGAAAGACTCAGAAGGACAGCCACTTCTACCACAGAAGTTAGTGTTCTTTAAAGAAGAGCTGGAAAACACTGAGACAGGCTGATTAAACATCAGCCAACAATGCACAGAAGCCCAGGAAAGTTCTCTACAGCTATGTGGAAGGTTCTGCACAGCACCCTCCTGTGTAAATTCTTATAGGAGGCCAGTATGTCTCCAAAATTTCACCTCAAATTAGGGATTATAGAAGGTGAGTATTGTTTAATTATGTATTCACTAACCACTATTAATTCTGGTAATTTAAGGGTTACATTTCATGGCACGTTAACTATGGCCCAATAAAGATGTTATAAGAAAGCCTGACTTCTTACTTGTGAATCTTAGCAGTGTCATGGTATGCTGCTTAGCTTTATCCAGAAGCAAGTTTTAAAGACAAGAAAATCAATCCTGTTTCTTTCTAATAAAGAAAAAAAAAAGACATGTGTTTCCCTGATAAAATGTATGTAATACCCTAGCTCAGTCTTCATTGGCTGTCAGAAGTTTTCAGACATTTATTTTTTCAAGATTAAGTGATTTTTTTCTCACAAATGGTTACAGATTACCTCAAGTCTTACCATGGCAACTGGAATGTTCACTTCAACATGACTGACTTTTGAAACCTCACGAAAACTCTGTCTTCTGCCATCACACCCATGTCCTTTCTTTGGGGGCATAGTCAAGATCTTCTTTATACTGTAAGAAGGCAAAGGAGGGGAGTTTTTGGCAAGTGAACACCTGATACTTGTTTAAATAAATATTATACCCTATTATATGGAGGGAACATCTGTAAACCACAATCCTGTCTCAAAGCGACTTCACTTGAAATCATTTGGATTACATTATACTCATCAAGATAATTGATGTCTTAGTTAGGTTACTATTGTGATGAAACATGACCAAAAACAACTTGGGAGGGAAAAGATTTATAATGTATGTGTATTTTGAATCATTCCATCAAGGGAAGCCAGGAAGTCAAGACAGGAAGCCCAATGGGATGGGAACCTGGAGGCAGAAGTTGATGCACAGGCAATGGAGAAATGCTGCTTACTGTCTTGTTACTGCTGGCCTGTTCAGTCTTCTTTCTTATAGAATCTGGGACCACCAGCATAGGGGTGACACCACTCACAATGGACTGGGCCATAAATCTAAGAAATCTCAGGAAAATGTCCTACAGGGTAGTCTGCTACAGTTGAATCTTGTGGAAGTATTCTTCAGTTGAGATTCCCTCCTCTTATCTTGAGTCCACTTGACATTGATATGCACACCAGAAAAATGGTTAATAGTATAACTACATATAGAATTTTATATGTATATTAGCATAGAATATTAGCTTAATATTAACCATTAGGTAAACCCCAGAAGTCAGTAGCTAAAGTGAAGAAAAAAGTGGATATGTTTTCAAATATCTATAAAAATGCTTTGATAACTGTAGAATATGTTCTATAGGAAGAAAACAAAGCACACACAAGAAAATATCAGGGTGGCTGGGTGACACAGAAGTGCTGGAGGCTGTGTTTATAAGCCTCGCTGTAATAAAAAGGGTTGCTTGTTAGTTCCTGGCTGCTTGGCTAGCCTAGATCAGAAATAATCACATAGAAACTATATTATTTAAAACACTGCTTGGCCCATTAGATCTAGCTTCTTATTGGCTAACTCTTACATCTTAATTTAACCCATCTCCATTAATCTGTGTATCAACACATGGCAGCCAAAGTTCCAGTAACTCCAGCAGCAGCTCCATGGCATCTCCCTAACTCTGTCCTTTCTTTTTCCCAGTGTTCAGCCTTGCTTTCCCTGCCTACCTACATTATTTGACAGAATTCACACAGTTGAGTGTATCAATCGGATTCTGTCAAAGGGGTATGACAGATTGATTGACAGAATGTCTCTTCAGGAAGATAATATGCATGCTATAAAGATTATGTTCAAGGATGAGACATTATCTCTACTGGACAGTCTTCATACCTTGGAATCCTCAATGAGGGCATTAGAGCAGAACACTGGACAGGAGATACAGATGTTACAAAATGCAGTGGTAAACAGATTTGAAAAGACTGAGGAAATTATCAAATTTGATGACCAGGAACAAAAGATAAAAAGGCAAAATTTAACCTCATTGGTACATAAAAATCTCCAGGATAGCTTCTCAAGAGTTCTGCCTGCCTTTCCAGTAATAACATCAGAAAAAGTATCTGGCTCCAAGTACCCTAAGATTGTCAAGGAATATACATGGGAGGCCATATATATGACTGATCTAAAAGAAATTAAACAAGCAATTGTGGCTTACAGACTACATTTGTCCTTTATAAAGGAGATGGTCAAAACGTAGGCTTTCAGTGACAAAGCCATGCTTCAAGATTGGGCTCAGTTAATCTTGGCAGTCTTAGAAAGTGGACTGCAATTGCTTTGGAGTTTCTTTTTAAAAGAGGAAGTGAGAACTTTAGAGCAACAAGAAAAAAGCAAAAGGACTTAAGATTTTCCTAGATGAAATTCTAGGTGAAGGACTTTACCATGATCCTCAGGGTCAAGCTCTTTATGATGATCACACCTTGTCCCTATGAACCATAGCAGTTTAAAGGCTTGGGACAGGAATCAGGAACCAAGAAAGAGAGTCAAATCATATCTTAGGGTTAAACGGGGTCAGAGAGAAAAATTTAGTGACTTTTTGCAAAAACTAACTGGGGCTGTACAAATAGGGGTAACTGACTCAGAAGCTAGATGTATAATAATTGAACCTTTGGCTTATGAGAATGCCATCATTGAGTGCAAATGGACCCTTGGGCCTTTAAAGATCAGATCAGCACCCATGGATGTCTAGCATACAATGGATGTCAAGACACTTGACTATGGTACAGAGCATGGCTGGAGAAGCAATTTCCAATGGTAAGAGAAGAAATAAGAATACCAAATGTTTTAATTGTGGTAGAATGGGACATGTGAGAAGGGACTGTAGACAACAAATTCCTAGAAATGGCAGAAATAGGAGGACTCTGCCTTCAGGTATATATAGGAGTCATATGTAGACAAGGCAACCCAATACCACCAGGAAATGCCATGGGGGGGCCTCTGGAAGGCCCCCATGATGAATATGGTACAGACATTCCCAGTTACTGTTGAGAACATGTCTCTCCAGAAAAATTAAAAAATCCAATACTGATGTAAAAAGCAATATTGGTCTGAATGATGGATTAAATGTGGAGGATGAGTCAAAAACTCCAGTAGAACAGGGGAAGCATATATTTTGACAGACTTCTATAAATTATCAAAGACCAAAGCTAAGGGTTTGTATAAATGGTATTTTTATTGAAGGCTTATTAGACGTGGGTGCGGATGTAAGTATCATTACTCCAGAATCTTGGCATCTAAATTGGCCTCTTCAAGAGGTAGATGTTCAGTTTCTGGGAATTGGAGCCATATCTTGGGTAAAACAAAGCATGAGATGGGTTGAATGCATAGGATCTGAAGGGCAAATAGGAAGACTAAGGCCATATATAGCCAATATTGCAGTGAATTTGTGGGGTTATGACCTATTGCAGCAATGGAATACCCAGAATAACATTCCTGAAGGCCCATATTTCTGAGGAAAATATTAGAAGATATACAGACAACTGACACCAGCCATTCAGGCTGTACAAGAACACAAAGCAATTGATAAACCTTCAGAGGTACCAACAGCCCTACCTTTAAAATGGTTGACTAAGAAACCAATATGGGTTAAGAAGTGGCCAATGGCTGAGGAAAAGTTGCAGGCTTTTACAAGAGCAAATAGATGCTCAACATATAGAAGAATCTACCAGCCCTTGGAATTCTCCTGTATTTTTTGTTAAAAAGAAATCTGGAAAATTGAGAACGGTGACAGATCTAAGGGCTATCAACAAGGTTATTCAGCCTACAATATAGTTATTTCTCTATAATATAGAATTTCTCTGCCTTCTCTGTTACCAAAGGGATGGCCTCTCATAGTTATTGACTTAAAGGATTTTTTCTATACTATACCTTTACAAGAAAAGGATAGAGAAAAGTTTTCCCTCACAGAGCCTACTTATAATAATTCTCAGCCTACTAGAAAATATCAATGGACTATCGTCCCACAAGGAATGCTCAATAGCCCCACCCTGTGCCAATACTTTGTCAGCCAGCCATTGGAAATAATGTGTAAGAAATTTCCTAAGTCTATAATTTACTATTACATGGATGACATTTTGTTATCTGATTCAAATGCAGATACTTTAGAAAGGATGTTTGAAGAAGTAAAGAAAGTTTTGCCTAAATGGGGATTACAAATTGCTCCTGAAAAGATTCAAAGAGGAGATTCTGTTAATGACCTAGGTTACAGAATAGGTTTACAGAAAATTAGAACACAAACAGCACAAATTAGGAGAAACTGGTTGCAGACTCTTAATGACTTTCAAAGTTTGTTGGGAGATATTTCCAGTCTACGACTGGCTGTTGTGACTTTCAAAGTTTATTGAGAGATATTTCCAGTCTATGACTGGCTGTTGAGATAACACCTGATCTAATAATTCATTTAAACAAAACCTTAGATGGTAATAAAGACTTGAGTAGTCCCAGAGAATTAACAGCTGAAGTGGAAAAGGAACTGACACTTGATAAGGAGAAATTACAGGAGGCACATATGACTAGAGTGAATCCAAATCTAAATTGTATTCTAGTCATATTGCTTTCCAGGATTTCTCCTACAGGAATTTTAATGCAGAGGGATGATATTATCTTAAAATGGATCTTTTTACTACAGAAACCAAGTAAAAAAATTAAAAATTTATGTGGAAAAGTTTTTAAATTAATTATAAATTGAGGTAAATTATAATTATAAATTAAAGGTAAATTGAGACTTCATCAATTAGCAGGTATAGACCCAGCAGAGATTATAGTACCTTTTACTGGTGATGAGATAAAAAAGTTATTGAAAGACAATGAACCCTGGCAAATGGCTTGTGCTAATTTTGAAGGAGAAATTAATAGCAATTAACCCAAAAGCGATAGACTTAACCTTATAAAGAGAACTTATTGGATTCCTCCCTGAATTTTATGTGATGATCCAATAATTCCAGTACATTTTATACTGATGCATGTAAAACAGGGAAGGCAGGTTACAAATCAGAAGAATTACATAAGGTGTAACAAAACCCTTATAATTCTGTCCAGAAGGAAGAATTATATGCTAGTCTTATGGTACTAAGCTATTTTTAAAAACCTCTCCATATAGTTACTGATTCACAATATGCAAAAAGAACTGTCTTACATATTGAAACTGCTGAATTTATACCAGATGATATGGAATTGACTTCATTATTCATCTAGATGCAAGACATAATCAAGAATACATAACACACATCCAATCCCATTCGGGTCTGCTAGGTCCTCTAGCACAAGGTAACACAGAAATTGATCAATTATTGATTGGAAGTGTGCTGCAGGCCTCTGAATTTCAAAAAAAAATTCATGTCAATGGCAACAAGCTAAGGAGATTATAAAGAAATGTCCTACTTGCTCTTTCTATAATCAAACACCATTGCTTGCAGGGAGTAACCCTGAAAGTACTCAAAGGAATGAAATCTGGCAGATGGGTGTGTTCTATTTTACAGAATTTGGCAAATTAAAATATTTACACCACAACCATAGACATGTATTCAGGTTTTCAATGGGCAACTGCCTTGAGCTCAGAAAAGGCT